GGCTAGAGAGATTATCTGGTGGGAAGAGAATTTGCTATGCATAAAAATGAAGACTGGGTTCAAATCCTCAATAACTATGTATAAAGCTGGGTATTGCTGTACCTGTGACCCAGTACTGTAAGAGCTGGAGACAAGAGGATTATTAGTGCTACCTATCTGTCATCCGGGTTTAATAAGAGACCCTCTCTAAGGGAATACAGCAAAGAGTGACACAGAAAGACATCTAATGCTCCCGACTAACTTCTACATGTGCATAAGTTCACATACCCACATGCATGGCACACACGCACATATACCAACACACGCACACACACATACACAGAGAGAGAGAGAGACAGAGACAGAGAGACAGAGAGACAGAGAGAGGGAGAGGGAGAGGGAGAGAGAGAGAGAGAGAGAGAGAGAGAGAGAGAGAGAGAGAGAGAGAGAGAGAGAGAGAACTAAAAGAAAAGAGAGAGTTAATCAACAGATCAACGGAGATTGCATGTTGTTCTTCAATAGTGCAACGGTTCTGGGCACCTGTGTGTGCAAACTTCTCTACCTGTTTGTATCAAGTCTTTTTTCTACAGCTTAGGACCCATGTGTCCAAGCCGTTATGACAAGGAAAATTCCACACTCCCAATTACTAAAACTTCTACAGAGCTTTGTCCATCTACCCCAGAGAAGAACAATCTTTCAACTTCAAAGGACAATTAGTAAAAAATTACAGATGACATTGTCCACAACCCCAAGCCTCTGATTATCTCTTTTCAATAATGGAGATAGATAACATGATTAATATTAGGCCTGCAGATGACATTTACTCTATATTCAGGACTTTGCATCTATCTCACATTTGTAGCAACTCTACATAATACGTATTACTACCCATAAATTAGAGGTGAGATACAGAGTTACCTAGAGGTTAACAGGCTCAACCACACATAATACAAGCAGGCGAAACTGAGGTTCTCAGCTGGTGGACCACAGGCACTTGCACAGAGTCTCCATCTCTAGTGCCATACTCCTGGAATTTGCCTTGCCACTGCGTTTCTCTCCCCACAGTGATGTTACGATTTAGCTGTTCTCTGAAAAATACACCCCAACCCCTTTGATGCTGTCATTGTACATGTGTTTCTTTCAGTTCTTGTCTCTGCTGGAGATAAACCATAGCAGCACATGCCTGCTAGCCTAGTGCTCTCCCACTGAGCTACACATTATTGCTAATTACACAGGCATCCTACTTTACTTGAACCCAGGCTTTATGCTTTAAAAGATTGACATTTTTCATTATTTTCATAAAACAGTTCTCTATCATTCCTTATTATCTGGAGAAAAATAATCCAATTTTTAGATTGACAGGGGCCTTCTTTAAATCTTCAAAAAAGAGCCTCAATTGGGTGTACCACTGTTTAAAATCCAAATTCCTGGTGCCCAAAACAATAAACAAAAACTTCTTCTTGCTATGAAAGAGAAAGGAATTCTGTTTAGGTTCAACCAATTGGGTTACTCTATTGATGTAACAAATTAAAGGCTTTGGGAACACTGTGGCACACCCAGCCTCCTGCTCGAATTTTTCTTTGGGCCACCAGCTCTCTCCCAAATAATGACACAGAGACTTCTTATTAATTATGAAAGCTTAGCCTATAGCTTAGGGTTGTTCCTAGCTAGCTCTTATAACTTAAAATAACCCATTTATATTAATCTATGTTTAATCATGTGGTGTTATCTCTCTCCCTTCTTGCACCTCCTGTTTCCTCTATGTATCTCCTGGCATCTCCTGTGCACCTAGATTCCTTGTCCTCTTCCTTTGTCTACCTGGAAATCCCACCTATAACTCCTACAAAGCTATTGATCATTCAACTTTTTATTACACAATTACAGCAATACACCTTCACACAATGTACAAATATCCCACAACACCCATCTGTGAACCACGGTGTAAAATCCAGTTTTACCAAAAGACCCCTGTAAACCATTCCAGTTCACATTCCCATCTTTGATCTCTCCTCACCCTTGGTAAACAAAGAGTTTATTCACCCACCATATCTCCACATGTGTGGAGGCCCTGACTTCCTTCAGGAAGAAGCATGCTAGTCAGTTTAGCCAACCTGTCCTCTGCCCATGATGTTCCTACCTAGTAATGATCCATCTACAAACCACGTACTCCTTCTTGACTGTAAATTCTCACTCGTCAACTGATTTATTCAGAGTCAAGCTGTTTCTCTCTTCTGTCATAGGACTGCATTGCAGCAATCCCCAAGAGTTTGCTTTACCACCCATTACTATAATGCACATGGAAGTGTCATGTGAACCTCAGTTTACATGATTAATGCAGAAAATCCCACAAATGCATACTTCTCCATGACTTAAAAACTCCAGGAATTTACCAAATACTGATTACTAGGAGTTGTTTTTTACCTTCATATTTTAAAAGTAATTTTATTAATCTACTTTCAAATAATTCAGATGTTTGTCTCCTGAATTTCAGACTGCTCTACATTTCTGTATTTTGAATTAAGTTTTTAGAAAGATATAGAAAAGAGTAGAATTTTAATATAAAATTTAGGATTTGTGCAATGAATTTTGCATTTCTGCATCTTTTTCATGGTTCTTAAAAGGAAGGAGTGGTTCTAATTCCCTGAGTATGCCCCCCAATTCATCTAACAACAAATGCTGGATACATAAATGTATGCCAAGAGTAAGATAGGAATGAAGGAAATAAAAGGTGAAGGAGGCTTCACATCAGCATCTATGACCTTAAGTCAATATCTTTTCAAATTTGCTAACCGGCATCAGCAAGATAGTTAACTTGCCTGTATAAACATCTATTTTTAAATAAAAATCTGAGTCAACTGATAATGGTGTCTATCTAAATTCATTAATGCATCAGCCTCACTGAATGACTGAGGCATTTAGAAAAACAACTTTAAATTTGATTAAGTGTTCCCACTCATAAGTTTTCTCACAATATAATAAAATCATTTGAAACTCTACCAGGATTCCCTGCCATGTGAATCTTGCACTGAGTTAACTATGTGCTGTGCAAATAAGGATTATTTTAATCTCATAATGATAATATCAACCTTCCCTTAAGATATTTTACAAGATGATATGATTAGGGCCATAAAGAAAAGCTTCAGTAACTCTGAAAACAAACGAATGGTGAGATGGTTTTAGCTTATTATCCTTGAGTTGTCTCCAAAGAAAATAAACCACCATGTAATAACTAATATCAGAGCTTCTAACAAGCACTTTGCAACATTTGCCACATGTCAACATCTATCACATTGCTGGGTTCAGTGAATCCTTTGGAGAAATACAACCCTGTTCTTTTTATAGACTGAAATCTGAGCATTGCAGGTCAGTGTCCTGTCATCCTAAGGGAAACCCCCAGCGCCCATTCAAACATAATTTGCTTTCAGCTCCATGTTTTCTACATTCACTACTGATTGAGATATAGTCTGGGCTACATGGTACACCGGGCTTGTCTCATGTCCTCTGAAGCAAGTATGACTCCCAGACTGGCAGGCCCTACATCATCTGAGAACTTTCTACTCCAGAGCACCCAGAAACATATTTTAGAAAGCTCAGCAGGTGACCACAATTCAGTGGAATGTTTGAGAACTCCTAATCTAGAGTAAAAGGATGTTATTTTGCTATAAACAAAATGTCTTTCAGGGCTAGGGAAAGAGCCCAGAGCTGCCTGCCTGCAGGACAACTGTTTAACCACTCAAGTGACACTCCTGGCTCACACCCAAAAGTTGTTATTGGAGTAGCAAAATTGTGTAGCACCCTGTTTCCAAGCCTGAGATGCTGCTGTACCTAATGGAGCATATTGATTTTTTTACAATGGTACCAATCTTTTAAAAAATTATTAAATGGTTACACTAAAGTATGTTTCAGTTCTTAGTAAATCATTGATGCAAACTTAGCTGAAAGTTTGAGTTGAAAAAAAAACTGACACTGATTAATTAAAACTTCGTACCATGACACAGCCAAATATGAATTCCTTCTCTGTTATAAATAGATGAATTAATCTCTGTAATCAAAATGAAAGAACACTAAGCTGATTCCATTATGTATTTTCAGTGTTTCCTAGCCTAGAATGTGTATCATCTATACAGTCATATCTGTTAGACATGATGAGGGATGAATAGCATGGAGAATAGTTCCTACTATGCAAAGGCAAGCTAGTGGGGATGTTCCAAAGAATGGATAAAAATAATATGGCAATATCTTCTGTAATTCACCCTGTGTGCTTAACATGCTAAAAAGAAAGCCTGAGGAAAAAGGAAAATGCTTGTTTTGTTTGTTTATTTGTTTGTTGCTTTTCTAATGTGGTATCAACCCCAGGGCTTCCCATATGTAAAAGGAATGACTTTTATTAGAAAAATAAATAATTCAATTTCTACACAGAGATGTCATAGATACCAAGAGTAAAGTGAGGGGCAAAATATCATGCATGCATTCTTTCTATCAAGAAATATAGAAATCGGGTTTATTGTGTGATTCATGTTGCTTCTTTTTTTTCTTAATTTCAATAGGACGATGAACTTTTTCTTATATTTATATATATATATATATATATCATAAATGTAGGGTTACAATCTGCCAGTTTTCATCAGTATTTTAATAAAGCCACAGTTGGATATGAGCTAAAGGAGTCCTGTATTATTATAACAGAACCCTTTCATTTGGAATGCCAGCTTTTTTTTGATAGTTTTAAATTTATAGGAAGAACCATCATCCCTATTCCTGAGCATCACAGAACTACAGAACTTCCCTGAACTACATTTCATGCATGTCACTGTCATTAGTTCTCTTCTGGTTGAAGTACGTTAAGACAATGATGGACTAGCATTTGCCAAGAGTTTAAAAATAAGAAACTGAAATACATGATATCATAGGATATTTTGGATAAAATAAGTAAAAGAATTGGGGGAAGAAGTAAAGCCACAAAATCAATGACAAAAGCATACTATACACTTATTCAGAGAAAACCCAAATGTAATTAATACCTGTGACTGTGCGTTGATATTGGCTCCTTCTTTAACTAGAACTTTGACAACTTCTGCTTGTCCAGCCAGTGATGCAATGTGAAGAGCAGTATTTCCTTTCTGGTTTAACAAAACAGAAAGAATAGAAAACATTACAGGTTTCCAAATTGTGTAGAATCCAACATGCACAAGCACTTTCCAGTTTGTTCATAGTTCAAATTATTAAAATGTGATATTTTGTCAAGGTAAACCATTCATTTTTATCAAGCCCACCTTGTGAAGTATCTCCTCCAGCATCTCACTTTACTGTCTTTTGTAATTCTGGTACAATGTTAGGAGCATCAGAGGTCTAAATGTTAACAAAACCACAGTTTGTGAATGTGTATGCGTGTGGCAGTCCCTGTAGAATTCAAAGGATTGGGGGGAGGTACAATACTATTGAAAAATACCAATGTCCTTGAAACATTGCCTATTTAACTGTGCAAAAATAAGTAGGGAGGCTGGAGAAATGGCTTGGTAGTTAACAGGATATGCACACAGATCCCATCACCCATGTTAGGTAATTACAGCTCCAGAATATTGGCTGTCCTCTTCTGTCCCCCTCAGGAACCTGCACATATGTGCAGATATGCACAAGATGCATGCATATGCACACACACACACACACACACACACACAATTTATAAAATAAATCTTTCAAAACAGCAACTGGGGACTCTCAATGAGTGGACAAACTTGGACAAGAGTTATGTTTCTATCTACAAGGAAACATGTTTTGCTCAAAATATTTCAGAAATTAAAAAGTAAATCCTATATCAATCATAAAATTACTTACGATTTCTACCACTTACTACATCAAAATTTATGATAAGAATCAACACTGATGAAAGAAAATGAAAATGTGATTAAGAGAAATAATGAAAATAGAAAAATTGAAACAGAAACATATATTTTGAACCATAAGTTCAATTCTCTTTCTCTTTCTACTAACAGATCACTGCAGAGTCACCATCCACTCAGCATTTGTTGGACTCCATCTCTTCTTTTAAAACATTTTTTTCTCCAGAAAATTCTCAAGCTTTAATCTAGGCTTAAAAGTAAATCTCTACCAGATGGTGGTGGCACAAACCTTTAATCCCAGCACTCGGTAGGCAGGGGCAGGTGGATCTCTGTGAATCCCAGACCAACCTGGTCTACAGAGGAAGTTCCAGGACAGCCAGGGCTGCACAGAGAAACCCTGTCTCAAAAATCAAAACAAAAACAACATAAATAAATCAGAACTGTGCATGGTGGAGCACACTTAAAATCCCTACACTAAAGAAGGTGAGTCACGGACACCCAGAATCCCACAGCACCTGGATCCACAGTTGAGATCCGTATTTCAAAAAGGCAAGAACTGCAGATTGGTGGTAGTGCAGCAAAACCCTAGGTCTGATCTCAAGCACTTCTTTTCATACCAAGAAACACACACACACACACACACACACACACACACACACACACACGAAAAAGGTAGAGAGAGAAGGAGAAGGTAGTGGAGGGAACAAGAGAATAATCTATAATTTTAAGATACCAGTAATAACAAACATTTCAGCAACCAAAAAGTGGTGGATTTAATAAATATGTTATGCTAATCTGAGCAATTCAAGGCAGGGAAATATTTTGATCTAATCTAAAATCAATATTCTAATAATTCTAGTAATTGAATTCATGACCCAAACGTTCTCTTACAATAGAGCATAAAGGATCTGGTATATTCAAATGAAACACAATGAATACTAGAAAAGATACATCAATTTAACCATAGCATAAAAATGGTCTGATTATTTCAATTGATATGACAGTTTGTTTGTTTTTAATAAACTGACTTTAGGAAAACAGATACAAATGTCTACAGCAGATCGTGTTGATCTAGGCTTCTTTGTGAATCCAAGGAGGAATGATAGTACATTAAAAACTAGATCTGGGCTTCCAGAATTCTTGAGTCTCACATCTAAGTCCTGAAACAAAATGATCTAAATGCTGGAGGTAAATAAAGGTTTCAGTTACACTCCTGAGTGCTCAGTAATCCCCAGCAAACCTGTGAATAACTGGAAAAGGCTTTCAACCCCTTCCTCTTCAAAAAGCAAACAAATTACTATAAATTAAAAACAAACAAACAAACAAACAAAACAACCTCTTCCTCATTGTTAAGAAACAAATTCTACGTGCAGGAGTGGTACCTTAGTGGCAGAATCCACGGAGGACCCTCTTCCCAGCAGTTCCTGCACCAGGCCCACGTGGCCTTCCTTGGCTGCCAGATGGAGAGCATTGAGTCCATTCTGAGAGAAGAATAAGTGAGGCTTAGAAGTAGAGAAATGAAGAGGAGACAGTGTGCTAAACATACTCAAACTATCCAGAACAGATGCCCGCTTGTGTCTTATCTCTATTTTCTTTTCTTTCTTCATTTTACTTATGTATTCATTCATCTATTTACTGACGTTTTTGTGTTAACTGTAGTATATTTCTATCCAGAGAGATGACTTTCCAGAGATAGAGACACAACAATAATTGTGCATTAGGAACAAGGTTTGGAGAAATGCGCTTCAACAAGCTTCCTTCTTTAACTAAGAAGTATGAAAACATGGGGCTGGAGAGAGACCTTTGTAGCAAGAGCACTCACTGTGAAAGCATGAGGCTCTGAGTTCAGATCCCACTATCTCCAGCACACACATAGAAAGCTCGGTATCAGTTCCGAGGACTAGGGTTCAGTGACTAAGAGTACTGACTGTTCTTACTAATGGCCCATTTCGGTTCCTAGCACTCACATGGCGACTCACAACTGTCTGTAACTCCAGTTCCAGGGTTTCCCATGTCCTCTTTCAGCCTCTGTGGGCACCAGGCATACATGCAGCACACAGACATACATGCAGGCAAGACACCCACATGTATAAGATATTAAAATAATAACTTAAACATCATATTTTAAAACCTAGGCATTGCTACATATCATCTGGAACCCAAGCACTCCTGGGGAACAGAACAGCAAGATCCCTGAACTAGCTGGTTGAGTCACCTTGCACCAGGTTCAGTGAGAGACTGTCTCAAAAGAATAAGGCAGAGAGTGGTACAGCAAAACAGTGGACGTCCTTCCAGGGCCTCCGAATACGCACAAGCATGAGGACACATTAGTGGGCACACATGCTACACTCAAATACATATGCACACAGACACAAAGCATACACACACACACAAGGCATATAAGTGTTTTTCTAATGAAAGGATAAAGAGAATAATTACTTATTATTTATTGTGCTTGCTAAAGTCAAAATTCTGTCCAATTCTGAAACACAGCTTTTCAATAAATGATAGAAAATCCCTTTTACAAAGTGATTAAAAGCCAAAGACCATGTTTAAAGTTACATAACTCTGCAATGATAGTATTACACTTAAATTTAGAAACCAAGAGCCTTTTCTTTAAAACAAAAAATTATCTTAGAATCTCTGATAATCCTATCAAATCCAGTTTCAACTTACTTAATCCTTAAAATCTAACTTTGTACTACAGCACTGAAAAAAAAGTTACCTAATTTGACCTATAAATTCAATGTGGTATTTGTTAAAGCACCAATGACATTCTTCACAGAAATATACATACTGTAACTATTTTGAAAACTGTGCCAGTATTACTTTTAATAGTGTATTGTTGCATTTGGTGTAAAAGTGTGGGAGTATGTATTTGTGTGTGCAGGTTCAAACGTATGTGTGTGCCTTGAGGCCAGGGATCGCAGTCTGGTATCTTTCCTCAGATGCTCTCTCCCTTTGCTCTTGAGACAGGGTTTCTCACATCACTTGAACCTCTATTTACTCAGCTAGGCTTACTTACCATGGAGCTTTAGCTTCCCCTGGGATTCACATGGACACCTTGGCATTTAATAAATAAGTAAGGTTTAAAGAAGTGTTAAAAAATTAAACATCTAGTTTTTCAATAATTGGAAGATGTGTAGATGCCCTAGCAACATATTTTTCAAACACAATACATTGAGATGGTTATCAACACACTCAGTTTAAAAGAGAAGACTCAAGGAGTAAGAGTGGGAAAACACGTCCTCAGTAGACTCAACACGATTCCATACATAGCTACGGATGGGATCATATTGAGTACATCTTTGCTTGGGACTTGCATGTTCTATCTTTTCACTTAATTCCAACCTCTTGCTCCACCCAAGGCTTCAAAACCTGAGAGCTTGGAAGGACCTTTGAGTTTATCTAGCACTGTAAGGTAATGCCAATGTTACCCCAGACCTGAGACCCAATCACTCTGATACACTGATGGATGAATGAATGAATATAAAGAGAGCACAAAGAGGCTGTTTGGGTAAGGATTATTTTTTTTATAAATAATGAAAACTGATGTATTTGAAATAAGAAAGTAACAGACGTTATAGTGATAAGATTTTGTATGTAGGGTTTTGTCTAAATAGGATTAGAGAATTGAGGTTTGAAGATACTTTTTCCAGATGTTTTAGGCCTACTAACAAAGCAAAGACTTATTCTGCCAAAGACATCTCCTTTCTAAAACATAAGGTCATAAAACTCAGTAAGCCTCCTACTTAAGACCAATGACTGGTGGATTGACTCACAGATCTCTCTGTGCAATTTTCTGTGATGATCTACTCTGTGAACTTCCTTTCCAAGACCAGAGAAATGGGGTATCACTTCCCTTTGTTTGTTCTCCTAAAATTTTGTCTCTTTTGGTTTAAAAGTAGTATCTTCAGACTAGAGATATGGCCATGCACGTATGAGATCCTTCATTCATATCCTCAGAATCCATGCAAAAAGTCAGGTATACCTGTCACCCCACTGCTGGGGCAGATGTGGTGGACAAAGGAGGCTCTCTGGAGCTTATAGGCCAGTAAGTCTAGTGAAATCAGTGACAGAACCAGTCTCAAAAAGGAAGAGGGATATCAACTAAAGAAGACACCTGATGTAGAACTGTGACCTCCACACACATGTACATATACATGTACACACGCACACACAACACACACACAAGATATTTTTGATAATCACTTGCACTGCACTAGAATTTTTCCTTTAGATAACTTGCTTCTTAAAGTTTTCTTTTAAAACCCCAATGTCTGTCTTTATTACAAGTTAAAACAAATGTAAACCTTTTTTCTTTGAAATATTTATTTATTCTTCTCTCATGCAAAACATCTCAACTGCAGTTTCCCCTCTCCACTTTTGTAAAATGCCATTGCCAGCTGAGAAAAAATGGAGGAGGAGGTTTTCTCACCACAAGTTCTCAAAAATTTTAACTGTGGCAAGTGCATGCTGAAAAGCCCTTATACTGATCTCTTGGCATTGGAACTTCTAACTAAAAACAGGGTTAGTCAGAAACAGCATTTGTTCAATCCATGTCATTATAAATAGCAACTTAGCATGCGGACCTGGCTCAGTGAGTTAAGGTACTTGCTGACAAGTCTGACAACCTGAGTTTAATCACTGGATTCCATGTGGTAGAAGAGACTCCTGAAAATGTTCCTCTGACATCCTCAGGTCTGCTATGGCACACATGTGCTCACACACACACACACATACACACACACACACACACTTAATAAATAAACAACATAAGACATAACTGTTTAGTGTTGATCTAACTATTTTATCTGATGAACATGAAGGAGCATTGAGGCTATTATCAGAGTACACAGTGATGAATTCTACCTAAATAGTAGAACTCAGTTGATCTTGCTAGTAGGGGCTGTGGATCACTCTCCTGAAGATCAAACTTCTCAGGAGCCTTAATGAAGCTATAGTGAAGCACACGGACACCTGGTAATGCTGGTCACATTTCACAGGATTTCTTACTTTTAGTATGTTTCACATTGCTTAGAGAGGCATAGACAAAGGACAGCCTTCATGTTTGGGTGGAAACACAAGGCGAGTCCTAGGGCTTTCCCAACAGGGGTTCCTGCACATGTTTGAGGACTAATTGTTCTTTCCACATCAAAACATAAAACACCAGTTTCTGCATTCATTAGGACATTCAACATATGCTTATTGAGTTTGGCTGAAACAAAGACTTTTCTGGAACAATTTATTTATCTGAGACGTTAAAGATTCATTCCCCAGATATCAGAATAGACACATAGTGAGGTCATTAGAAAGCTTTGTGCCTGGAACATGTTATCTCTATTCCCTGCAGAAAGGGCTTCACGACGCTATGGGGTATCACTCACTTCACATTTGGTTTTTACATAAGGTAGATATGGATGGCTATCTGAGCGACATTCGTGGCTTTGTGTGCTCAGTCCATTCTCTCAGTTAAGTATTGTTGTGAGCTGACATGAGAACAGAAGCCTCCCTACTTCTTATTGTCCTTTAATTTTGAAAGAGAAGCATAATTCAGCATTTGTCTTTTTTGCTAGTTACCAGGAAATGGGATAGATTCAACATCTGAATTAATGAACCCACTTTCTATCTCTTCCTACTCCTTATTTTGTTTTGTGAGTTTCATTTTTAATGACACCTCAGTCACAACACCTGTGAGCTTGAATGTATACATGCTAAAAGTATGTCAATACTTTACTGAGGACATTTTGTGGTCCTTTTTCATCTCAGCACAACACCGTGCTAAGTGCTTTCACTGTGATTTTGTTATGAGTCCTGCTCCCTAGAGTTGATGAATAGAGTAATTATTCTTCATTAATATGATGGTTCTTTTTAAGCTGATAATAATGACTCGAAATGTTAACCAATTCTGACTTAAAAAAACTTAAAATTTTAAAATAAAGAATAAAAAACAAAACTTTAAGACGTAAATTTAGAACTACTTAAACTTGAAAATAGTGGGCTAAGCAATGAGCTAATATCAGTACATCAGGGTGTATTGTGTGGCGGGGGAGAGAATATCATACAATGTACTGCAGCAAATCTGGAAGAAAATAGATGAACATACATCAAAAAGAATTTGCAAATAATAGTTGAAAGTGCCAGCTGTTACTGAGTTCATAAAAAGGGCTGGGTCTTTCTGTGTTTAAAAAGATAATTTTTCATTTGTGTGCTTTTTTTCTTTTTCTAGCTTTTCTTATTTTTATTTCCTCTCTTTTTTTTAGACTATGGTTAATTTCTGAAGTATTCTGATGTCACTGGAGTTAAAGTAAAGTTGCAGTCTGTCCCCATGCTACAACACACCAGCACTGTGACTTTGAGCAGCTCGCTGTCCCTCTCAACCCTGTGACTGCAATGTCCCTTGTCACATCTATAAACAATGGCAATGGAACCATCTGATGCAAGGGACACTCTTCTTTCACAATAGGTTGACAAACATAAA